TGACTTTTGCTTACCAGCTGTGTAACTTGGCATACATGGCAACCTCTCCCAGCTTTCGTGGCTCCTACTGTTGTCATCCCAACTTTGTGGGCAGCTCCACCCTTCTATGCTCTCAGGCCAGAAAGCTTGGGGCTGGAGGGGGGGGCGTTCTCTTTGGTTCTTTCCTTTCACTCACATCCCACATCCAATCTGCCAGAAAACCCCGTCGGTCCCACCGATGAAATAGATTGGAATCGCCCTGTTTCCCACGTCCTCCACTGCTGCCACCTGCCTGAACCACCAGCATCTCCCATCTGGATTTCTTGGTGGCATCCGACCTGGTCTCTCTCCCTCTGTCAGCCCTGACTTCCTACAGTCTGTCCTCCACACAGTATCCGAAGGGATTTTCCCCAGCGCTGGGTTCTAGGCCTCCTTTTAGTCTTTCAGATTAAAAGCTAAAGCCCTAATGATGTCTCTGAAGGCCAATACAGTGTCTGACATGCCTCCCTACTCCCCATCTCTGACTCTGTCTCCCACGTTCTGTCCTTTCCACACTGGCACGCGCCCACCTCAGGGCCTGTGCACCTGCTGTTTCATGTGCTTTCTGCCTAACCTTCTTTAGGTCTTTTATCAAAAATTCTTCTTTAGGAGACCTTCCTGACCTGAAGTCCAATTGAAAACTGGAATAAATTCTTATCCTTCACTCCCTTCCCTGCCCCGTTTTGCTCTCTGACACTTAGCTTGATATATCATAGATTTTGCTGGTTTATTCGTTTCCTCCCAATAGCTATCCTTCCGAGAGCAGGGATTACTTTGTGTCTTGTTCACTGTTGTATCCCCAATTCTCGGTGCATATTAGGTGCTTAATAAATATCTGAAGGATTAATTCAGGTGCTTGGGTCCCAATGAATTAGAACCTGATATGTGAGTGTGGCCCAGGAATCTGTACTTCAAAAAGACACCCCAAGTACATTAGGGTTGAGAGGCCTTTTCTCAAAATGTCAGTGGGAAAGAAGTCATCATGCAAAGTTCAGCCCTCTGATCTCACCACTGAAGGCACCAAGGCCAGAGGTGGGAGGAGTTAACCAGGTCCCAGGTGGCTGGGCAGAGGAAGTAGAATTTAGGTACTGGACAACCAGCACTGGGCTCTCTGCAGCTCCGGTCTGCCCGGGCGGGCCCAATCTGGCTCCAGGGCCTGCTGAGAGGGGAACTGCTGAGTCACCGGAACCCAGGCTTCGGGCAGGGCCTGGCCCCCAGCTCAGGTGGCCTGGGGCATTGGAGCTGCACTCACCTCCTCCAAGTGACTGAGGCTGAGAGGGAAAGGCAGACCATGGTCCTGCTTTTGCCCAAACTCACTTATGGTGAAGTTATGTTAGTGTGTAAGTTCAAGAGTTGATCACAGCCTTTGAAATGCTTAACCCATTAAAAAAGTTGTAACAACTGAAAGTGGGGTTTGGGGAAATAACTAAAATCTAGCTGTGATCTGAAGGAGCTGACCGGCATAATTTGGTGCGGCCTCCATGACACTGGCTTAAAGGAAGATTAAAAAATGTTTGCATGCCTATCTGGGCCTAGGATTTCCCAAACCTGCATCACCTGGGGACACTTGTAAAAACAAAAACAAACAGAACAGGTTCCTATTATGGCCCAGATGTTGGGTTCAGTGTCTTGGATCAGGCTCAGAAATTTGGATTTTAAGGGACTCATATATGCAAGTTTGAGAAACACTGCCTGGGCCAGTAGCCTGGGCAGTAATGAGTCATGTAGAGCAACGAGGCCTTGGCATCAGGCCCTCCCTCACATCTGATCTGTTTGGAAAGGCCAAGACCCAATTCCAACATGCTGAAGGAAACACTAGTATGTCTGTAAATCTGTGACTATTGTGCTTGTCAAACCCACCTTTGAGAATTTATACTCTGCTGCTGCACAGAATGCCCCGGGCACCTATGAGCCGGCAGTGGTTGAAGATGGTCTGTCTTATCTGGATTACGCTGACGGGCAGAGGTTGCTGGGAGACGGCCCCAGGGTGTCAGCAGCGGGGGAGCTTCACCGGGTTTGGTGGGAAGACCAGCTTGGTGGTTTCCAGAGTCACACTGTTTTAAAAATATATATTTTTATTGATTTCAGAGAGGACGGGATAGAGACATCAATGATGAGAGAGAATCATCGATCGGCTGCCTCCTGCACACCCCCTACTGGGGATCCAACCCACAACCCGGGCATGTGCCATTGACCGGAATAGAACTTGGGACCCTTCAGTCTGCAGGCCGATACTCTATTCACTGTGACAAACCAGCTAGGGCGAGAGTGATACTTTAAAAAAATATATATTTTTAAATTGATTTCAGAGAGGAAGAGAGAGGGAGAACTAGAAATATCAATGATGAGAGAGAATCATTGATTGGCATGCAAGAACCGAGCCCAAAATCCGGGCATGTGCCCTTGACTGGAATCGACCCTGGGACCCTTCAGTCTGCAGGCCGACGCTCTATCCACTGAGCCAAACCAGCTAGGGCCAGAGTAATACATTTGGACCCAGGTAGCCTGACTTTTGCATTTTATGCTCTTTGTTGCTGTACTAGCCCTCCCAAAGTTGCAGAGTTTATGGTCACACACATATCCCCAGTGACACAGGAAGTGAGAAACCCTAGGCCTCTTCCCAGAAGAACACTGCTTCCTGCTCTCCTCCTCCCAACCCACCTCTCCAGCCCCACGGGCTCTCTCTGCAGGACAGCTCTAAATCCTGCAGAAGCCACCACGTCTGATGCACCTGGTTTGGCATTCATGGCTATAACCTGGACACAACTTCCCTGTGGAACGCAGAATAATGGCTCCACAGAATAAAGCTGTCCACATTCTAGTCCCTGGAGCCTGTGAATGTGCTGCATGGCAAAGGGATTTTTGCAGCTTGGCGAGGTGGCTCAGTTGGTTGGAGCATTGTCCTGATGCACCAAGGCTGCAGGTTCAATCCCCAATCAGAGCACAAACAGGAATCAACCAATGAATGCATAAATGGGAGGAGTGGCAGATTCATGCCCTGCCTCCCTGCGCCCCCCCAAAACACACACAATCAAAATGTTTATTTTTCTAAAGAAGGACTTTTGCAGATGTGATTAAGGGCTTTGAAAAGGGGAGATTTTCCTAGACTTTGTGGGTGGGCCCAATCTAACGATTCAAGACTTTAAAAGTGGAGAGCTTTGCCCAGCCTGTGTGGCTCAATGGTTGAGTGGCAACCTATGAACCAGGAGGTCACAGTTCCATTCTAGGTCAGGGCACATGCCTGGGTTGCGGGCTCACTCCCCAGTAGGGGCTTGCAGGAAGCAGCCAATCAATGATTCTCTCCCATCATTGATGATTCTTTCTCTCACTCCCTTCCTCTCTGAAATCAATAAAAAAATTTTTTTAAAAACACTTTTAAAAGTGGAGAGCCTTTTCTCGCTGTGGTTAGAGAGAGGTGATGGAAGAAGGAAGGATCAGAGAGATGCCACCCTGCTGGCTTTGAAGATGGAGGAAGAGTGGCCGAGAGCCAAGAAATCAGGCAGCCTCAACCAACCGGCGTGGTTCTGTGGTTGAGCATCGATCTATGAACCAGGAGGTCATGGTTCGATTCCTGGTCAGGACATATGCCTGGGTTGTGGGCTCCATCCCCAGTGGGGGGTGTGCAGGAGGCAGCCGATCGATGATTCTCTCTCATCACTGATCTTTCTATCACTCTCTCCCTCTCTGAAATCAATAAAAATATATGTAAAAAAAAAAAAATGAAGCTACAAAAGGCAAGGAAATGGATTCTGCCCTAGAGCGTCCAGAAAGAAATCTTGACTTTAGCTCGTGACACCACGTTGAACTTCCATCCAATAATACATTTGCATTGTTTTAAGACACTGAAGCCGTGGTGATTTATGACAGCAATAGGAAACAAATACAGTCCCCATAGAAGCTTCCTCCAACCAGTTAGTCCCTGCCAGTCTCACTCCAGGTACCATGTGTCCTCCCTCACACCTTTGCTCCTGCTGCTGCCTGTCCAGGACACTCAGCACCTCTCCCGAGCTCCTGTTAACAACTGCCTTTCCCTCTACACTGTCCTCGGCATTGACCTCTGCCAGCAGCATTCACCCGTCAGCCTGCCCCTCCCGCGGGCTCCCCTCGAGACCATGAGCTCCTTATAGGCGGTGTCTGTGACTTCTTTTCCTCCGACCCCATGACCAGAAGTGGTCCACAGAGGCCTGCACAATGGACCTGGGGCACTTATGTAGAACCCCTGGTTCTTAGTCCCCAGCTGCATCAGGATCACCCGGGATCCCTACAAAAACCCCAATTCTACCAAATCACAGTGGAAGGACGGGCGGCGGCTACGCAAGTATTATTGGGGGAAGATTCCCAAGAGTCAGAAAGTGAAAAACAGCGGAGTTGAAAAGTAGGATATGTTGCCACTTGTGTGAAAAAAATGGAAAAAAAACAAATATTTATAACAAATTTTTAAAGAATCAACTATCTTTGGAAAGATATAAAAAACAAGAGAACATAACTCCTGGTAACTTTCTAAATTCTGTATCATATATACATATTAACTGTTCACAAAAGGAAGTAAAATTTTAAAAACTCAAAATACTGATTCTGGTGTATCTCCAGAACGGACCCAGAATGCCCCAGGTGGGCCCAGGAATCTCCCTGGAAAACACTGTCCGCCAGTTCATTCCAAGTCGGGAACTGAACTGTCAGGAAGAGGGCAGAGCCAAGAAGCAAGGGATACTCGAAAGCACAAACTGGAAATGCACTTCATCAGACAAATAAATAGAAAGCTCTCCAAGGGACTGGGAAGCCCTAGAAACCCACTGACTCAGTCCCGCCTCTGCATTTTATGGGCCAGGAAAGGGAGGGAGAGTAACCTGCCCCCAGCGACACAGCCAGTCGGAGGCCCAGGCCAGTGCCCCAGGAATGACAGTGACAAGGACACTGATTCCTGCCCCTGCCCACCCTCATGCAGGGGCCCTGCTGACTCACAAGGCAGGAGGACAGGAAGATAGAGAAGAAAACACCATCTTTAATCAACCCACCTGCACAGAAACCAGGGGAACATGCCCTGCCTTGCAAGGTCCCAGTGAGAACTTGGTCCCCTTGCAAAAACTGTCTTATAAAAACAAAAGGCTTCAAAGCACCAGTGGCTAAACCCCTTGAGTAGAAAGGGGGTGGGGGAGGGGAGGGGAGATGACAATTGGCTGGGGCGGGTGGCGGGCAGGGGGGAGAAGGGAGGACTGGAGGCAGGAGTTAGCCAAGTGGTGGGGCAGCAGTCAGGCCTCAAGGGAACTGTCCCCATCGTGAGCTGTGCCCACCAGCTAGTGGGGCTGACCATCTGGGACCTCGGTGCCCGTGGTGACCAGAGGAACTCCTGGGGCTGGTTCCTTGGCACAGAACTGCACTTGGAGGGGGGTTTTAGCTCAGGGTATTTTGGCTTTAGACAATAAGAAATACTAGACTGGAGAGGGAAGAGCATAGAACAAAGTGGTCGCCATGGACGGGCTCAGGTGTGCAAACTGTCTGCACTTCCCTCCAGCTCCCGGAGGCCTCCCACCCTTCCTTACCCAGGGCCACTCCAATTTCACAGGCTGCGAGGCTGAGGCCTGATTCTCCTGCCCTTGGACTCACCAGCCAGGGCACAGGATGCAGGCTGCTCTGGCCTGTGGGGGGAGGTGGGGAATTGAATGAGCTCTCATCTCTACTTGCTCTCAAGGAAGTGTGCTGGGCCTCCTGACCCCACACCCCCACTCTACCTCTTCAGAACTCCAGGACATTGGAGTAGTCGTAAGCGCTAGTGATCTGTGAGCACTGGTGACCAGCTAGAGCGGACCAGCCCTTTTCCACTCTTAAATCACAGGTCTTCCAACCGGTCAGGTGGAGTTGCTGAGAGCATAGGGGATCATAGGTGCAGCAGCTTTAGGCACCTGGAAAGGGGGGTGACGCCGGACTGTGAGTCCCCTTTCCTGGAGAGAGCTTGAAAGGGTTGCCAAGGGTGAACAGAAGCCAAGTCTAGGCTTCCCTGTGGGCCAGGCTGAATTCAGGGCTCTGGGCTCCGTATGTCTAGTTCCCAACGAGAGAACGGGTATATTGCTTTAAGAGAGGCGCTGGCAAGTGGTGGCGGTGATGTGTAAGTATGGTGTGGATCTCATGGGTTCTAGAGTGTCCAGGCTGGAAAGGGGTTTGTTTGAAAATGGAATGTGGAGACCAGGCACTGGGTTTTGGAGGTTGAAACTACAGAAAGTACACTGTGTTCAAGGCCTGCCTCCACCAAAAGCCCCGTTGTGTGGCCTCTACACCTCTGGGCCTCAGTTTCCTTATCTGCAAAATGGGGATTATAATACCAGCCTAACCCAGGGAACTGAGTGTCAACTGAGAGAGATGGCTAGAAAGAGCTCCACCTGCTAAGGAATTATTTTAATTATTTGAGGTGGGGAAACTGAGGACCAGAGGGCAAGGGCTTGGCCAGACGTCACACAGAGAATCAGTGATGGAGCTGCGATTAGAACCCAGGACTCCTGCTCCTAGCTCACGGTGTGCATGAGTGTGGTGAGGTGGGGTGAGTCTGTCCATCCTGCCTCTACTCTCTGGACAGTGAACAGGATGCGGAGTGAAGGTTGAAAGAGAGAGGCTGGAAAAGGGAGGGAGGCCCCGGCGCACGCCAAGGCTGATATTAAAAAAAATACAAACCCCGAGATTCCCCTCCCTCACCCCGCCCCGCCCCGCCCCATCCCTGAAGTCCAGGCTGCAAAGGGCCAAGTCCAAGTCCGAGGCAGACCAGCTCGAGCCGCGCAAGCTGCAGTCAGCCCGCCAGCCACCAGGGGGCGCGCCTGCCATTTTGGCCCGAGCTCATGGCAGCAGCTGTCAGTTTAGCACAAAGCACTCGGCACGGCACCGGGGTGGGCGTGGGGCTGAAGCTACCCCGACCTGCAGGGAACAAAGGCAGGTTAGGAAAGTGGACCCCGAAAATGGGGGAGCAGAGAGATCCGATTGCTCTTCCCACCCCTCCTCTCCTTTTTACCGACACTAATGCCCGGGTCCCCCATCCCACCCTGCTCGGCGCCATGACCCACGTGTACAGAGGCTGCAGCTGTAAATGCGACGTCTTCTGGGGCGCCTGGTATCCGTAGGAGTCAAAACCGCCGATGAAGTCAACTGCAGAAGGGGAGGTGGCATATAGTTAGAAACGGGCTGGGGGCGGGGCGTCCCTAAGGGAGAAGGTTCTTGGGGGCAGGGCTTGAGCCACTTCAGGGGAGGAGACGGGGTTGGGGGAAAACGCTGGGAATGGGGGGTGCCAGATAGGGACCAGCCTTGTGGAGCCCCTCCAAGGGGCAGGGCCTGAGAGGGGCGGGTAGGGTGGTGGTGCTGGGGCCGTGGACTGGGCACCTGGACATCCGGACCTCGGTCCAGAATGGGCTGACTATATAAATCCCACCCACCCCTGGCTCCTCTCCTCCCCACTCATAGAGGGGCCGACCCAGGGCTCCCTCCCACCCAGGCCATGCGGGCCCCTGTCCAGGGTGCTGAAGACGCGGGGTGGCCCGCCGGGCTTTTCCGCTTCCTCGGGGCGCCACATACTTACAGCTGTCCTCTTCCTCCAGGAACACTTTGCTCACGTAGCAGGCGAACACAAAGCCGAACAGCTGAGGGAGGAAGAGGATGAGGAGAGGGAAGCTCTCCCTCCACCCTCTGTCCGGCCCTGCCTACCCAGGCTGGAGGCACAGGGTGTGCTCACATGAAGGCAAACCCCTAACAACTTCCAAGTTAATGACTGGGCCTTAAAGTCAAACATTCCTGGTTGCAGTCTCTGTCCTGGGGCTGTGACTTCGGACAAGTAATTATTTTACCTCGCTGGGCCTCAGTTTCCCCAGTTGGATCTGGGCAATACCTTACTGGCTTGTTAAGAGAAGAGAGAATTATGGGGGTGGGGAGATCCTCCCCAGGCAGGCTGGAGGACCCAGAGTCAACCCTTCTTAACTAGGGCTAAGCAAAGGGGTTTTCAGACTCCACTTCTGGGAGTGTTGTGAGGTGGGGACAGGAGGACTCACAGCCAGGAAGATCTGCAGGGCGCTGCTGAGGGCTTCAATGTAGGGATAGTCGAGCAGGCAGCCAGTGACAGAGATGACATGGTGGTCTTCCAGGGCCAGGCGGGAGTTCAGGACAGGTGTCACCAGGCAGCCTGGCCCGTTCTCCATCCACCAGGAGCGGTGCAGGGATGTGTTGAAGGTCATGATGAAGTCCCGGTCCTGGGGGTAGAGGGGCCTAGGATACTGAGCTGGGGTGGGGGAATCCTCCCCAGCTCCCAGGAGACTATATCTAAAGCCTATTTCACATATGCACCCTTATAGCAGCCTCCTCCCATAACTTGCTTTGAGGCGGGCATAGGGGTGAGGGGGCATGAAGAGTATGTATCTGCAGATCCACACTTGGCCAGTAGGTGGCATGGGATGACCATGCAAGCCTCCCTATTCCATCAGCAATAGAAGGGGCTGGTACTGACCCACAGAATCCCAGGATTCCAGGGCTGGAAAGATCATTAACAGTGACCAGATACAATTTTCCAGCTATTGGTGAAATCTTCAATACAGGCCCTTTCACGGCCCATCCAGCCTCTCCAATGTGCTCCCTATGTGTGACCCTGGGCAAACCTTTTCCCTCTTGGGCCTCAGTCTCTCCATGTGAAATGGCGAAGTGGCTGACCTAGGTCAGAAGTTGTTATCCATGATGTGCATCCCTGTGTTCATTAATCCATTCACTCATACAGTCTGCTAACAAATACTCACTGCATGCTGACCAGGTGCAAAGCACTGAGATGTGTGATCTTGTTTATCGCCTCAGCAATCAAAGGAAGTTGGGGTTGCTCTTATCTGAACTTACTAGATGAGGAACTGAAGTTCAGAGAGAGTAAGACACTTGCCCAAGGTCAGACAGCTAGAAAACATTAGAGCTGGATTTGAATCTAGTAGGTAGTCAAACTACCAAGCCAAATGCTCTCATTCATGTATGCTGCCTTCTTATTATCTAAGAATGAAAGTTGTGCTCTCGATGGTTTGGCTCAGTGGCTGGGGTGTTGGCCTGTGGACCGAAGGTCAAGGGTTCGATTCCTGGTCAAGGGCACCCATGTACCTCCATTGCAGGTTCCCCAGCTCTCATAGGGGCCCATGCAGGAGGCAACCAATCAATGTGTGTCTCTCTCATGTTGATGTTTCTCTTTCTCTCCCTCCCTCCCTTCCACTCTCTCTAGATATCAATGAAAAAAAAAATATCCTTGGGTTAGAATTAAAAAATAATAATAATAAAAATGGAAGTTATACCTACTCTGGGTTTACTCTTCTCAAAGCTAAATATTCCTACTTACTTCAATATGTGACATGGTCTGTTCAATTTTTCCCGAACAAACTCTACCTAATCTCTTGTTCTTCTGTAAAAATATTGATCAGCACTGAACTCGAATCTTTGCGGTCTAAACGTACAAAGTGCATGGGATTTTCACCCCCCTTGCACTGAGCACAGGTGAGGCCTAAGAGCAGCTTTGTGGGCCACCATATACTGTTAGTTTCTACAAAGCTTGTTGTTATCAACCGGGACCCCAGCCCACCTTCACACAGACGGATCTTCACCCTTATCTGCTCCATCATCATTTGTGTCTGAGCAGTGCAGAGGGGGCCAGAAACAAAAATGTGGGGTGGGGGATGGGGATAGATTATTTGGGTGTGTGGAGGGAAGTTTCTTCAAGAAATAATCCCCCCCCCCCAAAAAAAAAATCCACAAGAGATGATGGCCCAGACCCCTATCACCAGGGGAGCCTTTAGGGTGGGAGGGGAAAGGTCGGGCTCTGCCCTCTGGCACTGCCAGGCCTGAGGCTTACCTGGGACAGCTGTCCAACCTCCAGGTAGAAGCAGATGATAAATGCATTCCAGCCAACCCAGAGCACCAGCCAGGCTGCATACTGGGGAGAGCAGAGGTGGGGTCAGGGTGGGGTTTGGGGGAGGGGGCTTGCGGTACGTCCACGGACACAGAGTTAATGGACTGAGAAGACTTTTGCAGGGGACGTTATGACAATACCTTGCTCATAGAGCACTGAGAATAGTTAACAAATCATTTTTATACCAAACCGGTCTTTATAACAGCCCTGCAGGGAAGGCATTGTCCTCGCTTCAGAGGTAACTAATTTAAGGCCTAGCGAGAGTCATTTTTTCCAAGATCACACAGCTAGAAAGAGGTAGGGCTGGAACTCAAACCCAAGTCCTGGGGTAGCTAATCCTATCCATTCGGCAGAAAAACAACAGCCGCCCTGACCGGTTTGGCTCAGTGGATAGAGCGTCAGCCTGCGGACTGAAGGGTCCCGGGTTCAATTCTGGTCAAGGGCATGTACCTGGGTTGCGGGCACATCCCCAGTAGGGGGTGTGCAGGAGGCAGGTGATCGATGTTTCTCTCTCATCGATGTTTCTAACTCTCTATATCCCTCTCCCTTTCTCTCTGTAAAAAATCAATAAAATATATTAAAAAAAAAAAAAAGACAACAACAGCCATCAGACATGGCCAAGAGCTGGAGAGGGGCTGGCTATTTCCACCCAAACCCTATGCCTACAATTCCAGTGGCGGCCACCAGCAGACACAGCATTTTACACTGGTGCCTGGGCCGTCCTGAGAACTGGAGAGAAGGGTTCTCATTATCTCACTCAGATGAGAGAAAACCCTGGAAGGGCCACGTTCTCCTGGCCTCTGGGAGTTGGGGACAAGCCCTGGAATGAGGGCTAGTGGGCTCTGGTGGGAGCAGGACACTGCATGTCACTGTTATTGTAGGTGTCAAGCGTTTCTGTAGTAAATCTACCGAAAAGCCTTTTCCCTCGAGAGAGGCATGTGAATGGATCACGGAGGAAGAGCAGGGGACACAGGTGAACTGAAAATAGGAGTTTGACAGAGACCATCCAGGACTAACCAGGACTTAGAAAAAGGGAGCAGGAGGAAGGAGCCGGGGACACAGTCCACTCTGGGGATGGGCCTCAGAGCCACTCTCGGCTGTATTCTTTTTTTTTTTTAATATATTTTATTGATTTTTTACAGAGAGGTAGGGAGAGAGATAGAGAGTTAGAAACATCGATGAGAGAGAAACATCGATTAGCTGCCTCCTGCACATCTCCTACTGGGGATGTGCCCGCAACCCAGGTACATGCCCTTGACCGGAATCGAACCTGGGACCCTTCAGTCCGCAGGCCGACGCTCTATCCACTGAGCCAAACCGGTTTCGGCTCGGCTGTATTCTTGATGAACACCAAGGGACAAGCACCAAGCTTTCCCGACGCAACCGGAGGAACTAAGCTAGACCAGGCTCCTTCCTCGCACTGGCTTTCTGAGGCGGCGTGGTGAGGTGGCAGGAGCCTCCGCTCTGGGTCTGAGGCTCTAGTCCTGGCTCCGCCACCCAATAGCTGTGTGACCTTAGGAAGGGCTGCAACCTTTCTGAGACTCATTCCCTCATCGAGAAAATGGAGATGGTGCGATATACCTCGCAGAGCTGCGTAAAGATCCAACAAAGCAAGTGACATCTTAGCAGAGTGCCCAACACAAGGTGGGCACTCATTAAATGATGTACCAGGTTAAGAGTTGGATTTTTCCCTAGGAAATTCTTTAGGAAAAACACCAACCTTGCCTCCGCTGAATAAAGAAGCATTGGGATTTGGGCATTCACTTCAACAGGGCTAGAGGCAAGACAGGGCAGGGGTCTGCGTGCCTGTGGAGGGGGGGCAGTTTTGGTTGGAGGAGTGGGGGAGATGGATGGGGTGAGGGGAAGAGGTTGGCTTGGGAGGGGTCAATGAGCCATACCAGAATGAGGTACCGGGAGCGGTACTGCACCGTGCCAAAGATGCCCAGGATGACCGCCATGATGTGCAGGAAGTTGGCTAGGATAGGAGCCCATTGGTAGCCCAGGAAGTCAAAGATCTGCCTCTCCAGCGCAGCCACCTGTGGGAAAGAGCAGACTGAGGCCGTGTGCACGCCCTCAAAGGGAAGGGCAGGGACTCCTTGACCTTGTGGAGGAGGTGACATCAGTTATTGTGGTGATGAGGCACCATGACGGATTATGCAGAAATTTTGGAGCCATTCCAGCCCCGCAGTACCAAAGGGCTGCTCGGAGGTGGGACAAGTCTGTTGGGGTGGAGGACTGAGCCCTGATCATGACTTTGGGGTGGGTTGAAGGGAGATGGGAGCCAGGGTTCAGAACACCTACCTCCCTGCCAAGAGGCCTGCCCCTCTTGCTCCTTCCTTACGTGGGGCTCTCAGTTGGTGTATCGGGATCCAGACTCCTCCCCGGCCCTGTTCTAGGGCTGAGCCCTGGCCCTGGAGGCCCCAGGGATGCAACGGGTCTGAGTCATCTCTTCCCAGGCCCCCTCGCTGGAGGTTACCCTGGCCTATGGGATCCATGGGCCACAGAGAAAGGGATTTTATTTTCTCCCCTTCCCCAAGGGAGCTGCAGTAGATTGCAAAACTGGCCTCAAATTCTTCTTCCTGTTTCCATGCTCTTTGGCAGTGCCCGCCCACACTAGCTCTGTACTTGCTCATGTGACTTGCTTTGACCAATGGGGCTTAAGCAAATGTGAAGCAAGTGAAGACGTGAAAAATGCCTGTGCACTGGAGCTTGCTCACTTGCTAACACAGAGAACACTTGTGAAGGAGCCCGAGCTGACCTGCTGAATGACAGGCGCCCCAGCTGCCAGCCAGCCAGCCATCAGAGTGAGGCCGTTCTAGCTCATTCAGATGCTAGCCAACCCACCAGCTGGCCACAGACACCCAGCCCAGAGTCAGAAGACTCTCCCAGCTGACACACAGAATCATGAGCCGAATAAAATGATTCTTTTAAACTACTACATTTTTGGGGTGATTTGTTACACAGCAAAAGCTAACTGATACAGGACACAATCAACACTCCCTTTCCAGCAGCCCCTACTTCAATCTTTCAGCTGATACAATCAGGAACAAAGGTGCCAAGGGTACCTATTGGTATTGACGGACCAATATTCCTTCTTCTGGTTTTGGAAGCTGCCACCCAGACACTCAATTCCTGTGGCTTGGTGGGGCTGATCCCACTTCTAACTTCCATAGCAGCTGGTGACCTATGCCTAACCAATAATCCACACAGTGATCTATTCAGGGGTGGGCACCCACTGTGTGCCCTGCTTCCGAGAGTCACCAAAGCTAAGGAACAGGGAGAGAGTGAGGAAGGAAGATGAACAAGCAGGGACAGCGTCCCCGGTGACATCATTTTAAGTCTGAGGATCCAGACATGCCTGAAAGGAACTGCCCCTCCCTGTACCTGTGATTTCTGTCACTTGCAACCAAGAGTCCTGACTGAGATAGAAGAAGGGGAGAGAAGCGGGTCTGGCTTGGGAGGGAAAGGGAAGATTCTGATAAAGTGAAAAGGTCCCAGGAGCTTTTTTCCTGGGAGGGAGGCAGGAGAAGGTGGACCTGATGCTACCACACAGATGGCAGGGCTGGGCAGAGACCCAGGAAGCTGCGGGCTCAACCCTGGCACCCACCCACCTGGCACCAGCCTGCCTCTTTTTGGTGACTCCCCTCGCAGGGCTCTGCGGATTGTAAAGAGCGTTCCAATTCATCTCTCCCTCCATACCTCTTGGCAGAAAGGCAGAACTGAGAGCATGATCTCATCTTGGAGAAAGAGACAGTGAGGCTCAGAGAGGGGAAGTGACTGGCCTAACGTCACACAACTGGCTGGTGGCCAAGCCAGGCAACCATTCTGCCTTTCTCTGCCACCTGTCTCACCTTGGCCCCAACACACAACCTTTCCCAGTTGGCAATGGCCTGGGTGTTAAGAGGCCTGGTTCCGGTTGAGAGTCTGGTACTGACCATGGGTGACCTTGGGTAGGCCACCTTCCTGCTGGGTCTTGGGCTCCTCTTGCATACATAGAGGCCGCTGGACCACATGACCTCTAAGGGTCCTTCTGGTTTTGACGTCAATGATCTGCCGACCTTGGGGGAGAAACTCCCCAGGCTGCTCCCCCTGCCTAAAGGCCCTGCCTCACTTTTTTTTTTTAAATGAGGTTTATTCTCTCTTTTTTTAAAGAAATATATTTTTATTGATTTCAAAGAGGAAGAGAGAGGGCGAGAGAGATGGAAACATCAATGATAAGAGAGACTCGTTGAACGGCTGCCTCCTACATACCCACTACTGGGGATCAAGCCCGAAACCTGGGCATGTGCCCTATGACCGAAACCGAACCCGGGACCCTTTAGTCTGCAGACCGATGGTCTATCCACTGAACCAAACTGGCCAGGGCCCTGCCTCATTTTTGTTCTCCCTTCCACCCATGCTCTGCTAGGTTTTAGGGAATGTGGTGTTTTGGGATCCAGCTTGAAGCTCTCAACTCAGCTGGCACCTGGTCCTGGCAAGGAGGCTGTCATCAGAGGACAGAGGGCTGTGGCTCAGTTCGTTGGGCACTGTCCCGTGCACTGAAAGGTAGCAGGTTCGATTCCTGGTCAGGACACATGTCCGGGTTTAGGGCTCAATCCCCGGTAGCAGGGGTGCAGGAGGCAGGAAGTAGCTGATCAATGCTTTGCTCTTACATCGATGTTTCTCCCTCTCCCTTCCTCTCTCTCTAAAAATCAATAAAAATATTTATCAAATAAAATTATTCTCCACCGCAGGTTTTATTTTTTCCATGGCATTTATCTACCCACCTTCTATGTACTGTCTATCTCCTGCATTAGAGGGCAAACTCTATGAGAGGGGGGTTTCTGCCTGAGATGTCTGCTGCTGTGTTAGTGGGGAGGGCCAAGCCTGGCACACTGCAGGTGCTAAAGGTAACCTCATTCTCCACCCTCTCTGGCCATTCCCGAGTCCAGCGCAGCTCATCCTCCCATGCACTCAGACCCTTAAATATCCAAGATCCTCAGGGCTATATCTGGCCCTTTTTCATGCTCCACTTGTCCCAGCAAACGCATGCCTACCCAAGCTTCAGTGACTACCTGCTCATGTTTCAGCTTCCAGCCCCATTATAAACCAACTGCCCACTGGATGGCTCATCATGAACTTAATACGCTCAAACCTGGTCCATTTCCAGTGACTTGGGGCCCCATGATGTGTCCAGCTGCATGAGCTGGAAAACGGAACTTTAGGTCCTGGCCTCCCCGCTCTCCCTCACCTCCATGCCGGGCCTGTCAAGTTCTGGCTCTCTGACTTGCTGAATCTCTTACACAGCTGGTCACCCTTCTCCCTCCACTGTCTGCTCTCCCCTGG